CCCGGACTGGCCTGGTCATGTGTGAAGATAGGTAAGGAAACAAGGTGCTTGCGTATGTCTGAGACATTTTCTCCTTTTTGACTTTTGTTATCCTAAAAGATAAATTCTACCTTGTCAAATATAGGCGATTTTTTTCCGTATCACAGTGTGGTACATTGGAAGCCTGATTTCAAGACATACTACATAGTGACAGTCACCAAAGCAGCATTGGTCAGGCACAGAGACAGACTCAGGCCAACAGCACCGATCAGAGGCTTCAGAGCCAAGGGATCCTGGACAAAGGTTCCAAGACCTTATAGTGGAGGAAGGGTGGCCTCCGCCACATGCTGCTGGGAAAAGAGAGCCCCACATGGGGCTCAGGACATTGAGCTCTCACTGGACAGACATCAGCTCCAAGTGACGAACAGCACAAATGTCAGGCTGCAGACCCCAGCTCCACAGAAACGGAAAGACCTGAGAACAAGAAATACTTCCAAAGGACTCCCAAAACACAGGGGAAAGGCAAAGAAATGGAAACTGGGATTATATTGAGCTAAACGGCTATACACCGAAGTAGAGGGATTCTACAGAATGGGAAAAGATACCCATCTGAGAGGATTAATTTCCAGATATTATGAGGAGCTAAAAAAAAAAAAAAGTGAGTCAGTTTAAGAGTGAGCAAATTATCTAAATAGACCCTTCTGGAAAAAGGAAATACAATTTCATGAGCTGCTAGGGAAATGCAAACCAGAACTACAATGAAATACCATCTCTGCCCAGTTAGAATGGCTGTTTTTAAAAGAAGGCTGGATGTGGGGGAAAACGAGCCTCATCATAGCAGGTGAAAACAGAACAGTACCGAACTAAAGACGGATCTACCACTGCTTCAGGGTACGAGCGAAAGCAGTGAAACCAGCCTCCAGAGAGGCAGCATGCTCACGGCCCTCATGGCCCTGTTCACAATGGCCGAAAGTGGGAGTCTGCCTAGGTGCCCAGGGGAACAGAAGGAATGCAGGACAGATCTCGTCATCTGCAGCAAAATGCATGGAACAATCAAATACGCCATGTTCTCGCATAGGTGGAAGTGAAAAACCACGTTGACCTGAAGTAGAAGTTGTGAAGGGGAGGGTCTGTGCACACGTGCAGACCGGAGTCGGCCAGCATGGTGCAGCCATTGCTGAAGCATTAACACCAAACTATAACCATATGTTATATAAAATAATCTTTATTTTTATTTATTTATTTTGTTGTTGTTGTTGTTGTGGGGCTTAAATTCTGGGCCTGGGCGCTGTCCCTGAGCTCTTCAGTTCAAGGCAAGCACTCTACCACTTGAGCCACAGCACCATTTCTGGTTGGCTAATTGAAGGTAAGAATCTCAAGGGGACTTTCCTGCTGGGGCTGGCTTTGAGCAGTGATCCTCAGATCTCAGCCTCCTGAGTAGCTAGGATTACGGGTGTGAGCCACCAGTGCCCAGCTGTATAAAAAAACTTTAAATGCTTTGTTTTATATTGCATCCTAAACCAGCATTCCTTTGCTACTGGGGCCTGAAATCAGGGCCTTCCGGCCATGCCCTGTCACTGAGCCATGCCCCAGTTTGAGTTTGTTTTTCAGATAGGGCCTTGTGCTTTTTCCTGGGCAGGACTCAGACTTGAGTCCTCCTACCTCTACTTCTGGGATCATGGGCATGTACCATCATGCTCAGACTGCATCAATACACAGAGGCTATAGGATGCAGATAGAGCTCTGGGTGTCGGTAGCAGTTGGAAGTGGCAGATGGCTTTGGTTGAACATAATTTTGATATGGATAGGTAGACTATTACAGTCAGTGCAGATGATACAGAATTTAAATCAACAGTCCAAGTACGTATCTTTCTCTTTCCCTTCCTGAATTGAATCAAAGCTTTTACTCAGTGACAAATAACAAAACAAAATTGAAAAATGGCCAAAAGATGAAACTGGGGGGCGTGGCTCAGGTGGTGGAGCACCTGCTGTGAACAAGCGAGCAAGAGCTTAAGTCCCTGACCTGAACGTCCCAGGACCAGCACAAATAAATAAATACTACCTGGAAAGAAAGGCAGTGGGGGCGGGGGAGAGCAAGAATAGCCATTTCTCCAGAGACGTCTGTGAATGTCAGTAAGAACCTGAAAGGAGACTCGGACGCAGCGTTAGTCATGAAGCAGCGAGCATCCTCCGGGGATGACTTTTTTTTTTTTTTCAAATTTTTTATTGTGATTAAGTGGTTACATAATTTCCCAAATTCACATTATTGTGGGATAGTGATGCTCAGTTAAAGACACTAACACATTCTAACTTTCCTGGAGCAAATTGTCTATCCGGGGATGACTCTTGAAGAGAAGTCTGAAAATAGCCCATGTTGGAAGCGCGGTCTGAGCCCGGTGCCGTGTTGGCAGCTCCGTGGAGGAGTGTGGCAGCATTTTACAATGTTAAACGGAATTGCTATAGACCCAGCGGCTCCATTTCTGGGTGTAAACCCAAAAGAAACAGGGAGCCACTCTGAATACGCACAGAAGCATTGGTCACACTGGTTGAAAGGTGGTGTCAACAGGTAGACACACTGCCTGCCAGAACTCGCCCGAAGTCACGGCTGCTAGGAACTTCAGGGAACAAAACGTTAAACACTGCCATGGATATGTGAACCTCAATGTGGACAAACGATTCCATTTCTTCAATAAATCAATGCCACAGGAGCCGTGCGCTGGTGGCTCACACCTGTCATCCTAGCTACTCAGGAGGCTGAGATCTGAGGATCACGGTTTGAAATCAGCCCAGGCAGGAAACTCTGTGAGACTTATCTCCAATAAACTATTCAAAAAAGCTGGAAGTGGCACTGTGGCTCAAGTAGTGGAGTGCTAGCCTTGAACAAAAAGCAGCTCAGGGACAGTGCCCAGGCCCAGAGTTCAAGTCCCACAACCAGCAAAAAAGGGAAAAAAAGACACAGGAAAAAGCAAAAGGGAAGCCAGTGGCTGGTGGCTCACGCCTGTAATCCTAGCTGCTCAGAAAGCTGGGATCTGAGGATCTCAGTGCTATTCAAAGCCAGGCGAGGCAGGAACACTGGTGAGACTCTTATCACCAGTTAACACCCTCCCCCACCGGAAGTGGGTCTGTGGCTCAAGTGGTAGAGCGCTTGCTTTGAGCTGAAGAGCGCAGGGACAGTGCCCAGGCCCAGAGTTCAAGCCCCATGACCGACAAAAAAAAAAAGAAAAGAAAGGAGACCTATGATAGATTGAAAGATATTTAAGTGCCTAAGGCAACGTTTGGATGCCAGCTCACATAAGCCGTTTGTACATGGGGGTCGGGGAGCTGCTACAGGAGTAGCCAAGCCCCACCGTAACTGCGCTGCAGTGCGGTCTTCAAACAGCCGAGACATCAGGAGCTGCTTTAAGATAACCCAGAGGAGAAAGGGGAGGCCGAGTGCAGAGACATAGAGTTCATTCTCTCTGTTATTTTTTAACATCTTTAGACATTTCTGTTAGCTTTTTTGTTTTGTTTTTGTTTTTTTAGGGTCCGGTCATGGGGCCTGAACTCTGGGCCTGGGCGCTGTCCCTCAGCTCTTCAGCTCAAGGCTAGCGCTCTACCACTTGAGCCACAGAGCCACTTCTGGCTTTTTTCTGTTTATGTGGTGCTGAGGAATCGAACCCAGGGCCTCATGCATGCAAGGCAAGCGCTCTACCACTGAGCCTCCTTCCCAGCCCCTTCTGTTAGCTGTTTTAAAAATATGCCATTCTATACAAGCCAATCTAGGTTTATATGATTTTATTCTAGTAAAACACATAAAATTTGCCATTTAGAAGCCAGGCGCTTGTGGCTCACACCTATCATCCTAGCTACTCAGGAGGCTGAGACTGAGGATCACGGTTCAAAGCCAGCCCGGGCAGGAAAGTCTGTGAGACTCTTATCTCTAATAAACCACTAGAAAACCGGAAGTGGCGCTGTGGCTCAAGCAGTAGAGTGCTTTGCCTTGAGCTGAAGAGCTGAGGGACAGCGCCCAGGCCCAGAGTTCAAGCCCCACGACCAGCAGCAGCAGCAGCAACAACAACAGTTGCCATTTAACCATTTGTAAATGTGCTTGGCGTTGAGTTCTCTGGCAGCAGTGTGCAACCATCACCACTAGCTTCTTCCAAACCTTTTTCACAACTCTGCTGCTGAGTCTGACTCGTCTTTGCACACCCTGTTCTCAAGGCCACCAGGTGGTAGCAAGCCGGAACTTTGGTCCTCCTTGTGGCTCTCACCTCCATGCTCTGTCCTGCATCTCATGCTTCAGGTGGTCATCAGAGCTGACCTGGCCCCAGAACTAAGGCCTTCTAAAAAGTAGAGGGATGGAAGTGGCGCTGTGGCTCAAGTGGTAGAGCACTCGCCTTGAGCTAAAGAGCTCAGGGACAGCGCCCAGGCCCAGAGTTCAGGCCCCATGGCCAGAAAAAAAAAAAAGGAGAGGGGTAGAGTAACAAGAACAGGAGCCCACAGCTGCCTGAACAAAAGACCCCCCCAGGCCCCCCCAGTGTTGGTGGGGGGCAGCCTCCAATCCAGACACATACGAGCGGCAGAAGTAGCATATTTGTTATGTAACTTTTGCCACAATAGTCATCTGCCTTCTATGACAACATGCTCAGACACTGACAATGTACCGGAAAAGCTGCACGCGCGCGCACACACACACACACACACACACACACACACACACACACACACGCACGCACAATGCAACTGCTACTGGGCACATTCCTATTGTTTTCATCGTATACACCTCCTTGCATGACTTCAGTTGTGACACCTTTAGAAGCATCTACGGAGATCTTCCTACCTGTGCACCACCATGCCTGACTTATTGGTTGATGTGGGGTTTCATTAACATTTTACCAGGGTTGGCTTCGAACCACAGTCCTCCTGACCTCTGAGATCACAGGTATGAGCCGCCATGCCCACCTCAACCTTTGGTGCTTCTGAAGAAATCAGCATTCCACATCTCTGAATTCAGTACATTAATGATCACTTCTTGACTTTAGGAATTTGAGAGCGTGTTTTGCGGTAAAACTGGCAGAAGGCTAAAGCTGACCAGACCGGACTCCTTGGTGACCTGCCCGGCCCAGGGGAGTCTGCAGAGCAGCCCCGCGATGGAGCTCAAGTGACTGGACTGAACCGGGACGCGGGGTGAACGGCACTCCTGCGGGACCGCGCCCATGTTCTTCGTTCCTGGAGCCCCTCTCTGACGGCCCACCTCGAAAAGGGACATGCTCGGGCGATGGGACTCCAGCAGGGACGTTGAGAGCACATTTTGTGAAAGTATGTATCTAAAGCAAAATACGTACCCATGAATGTCCTAATGACCATTTGAGGATAAAGACATCTTGATAATTTGTAAGTAATTTTTCAATTATCTGTCTGATTTCCATCATGTGTTCTTAACATGATAGCTTAAGAAATTAACATCCTTTGCCATTTTTTTTTAGTCTTAACAAGACTAGAGAAAACATTTCTTTTTACTTATTTTATTTATATTTTAAATATGCCCCTTTAGCGATTGGAAATGTAAATTGTTAACTAGTAGTTTGGAGATTTTATTTCATGTGTTGTATCCCTTCCCGCGGTAACGCTCCCCGTCTCATGGTACTAAAAAGTACAGCACTCTTCTGAAACATTTTGCAAAAAATTTTCCAGATACTTCTTTAAAGGTACTTTTGTCCATAAATATTTTCTCAATAGATGCTTACATGCTCATATTTTCATATTGTGATTCATTACTTTATGTGAAATAAACTGTGTTTGGAACTGAGTTTCCCAGTGAGTGGCTTTATTTATTACAACAGGTACTTCAGCACACCGTGCAGGAGCTGCCGTCAATAACTACTGTCTGGTAGGGACGCTCTGTGTGTGCACGCAAAGCAGGTGAAGCAGACTAGACTGCTGTGTCGGAGGGGCACAGTGCACTCCATTTTTTGTGTTACACTATAGTCAGTTACTAATCTGGAACTTGAATGTATCATTTTATTGGGATGTGTCACAGACTTTACGCAGATGCTATGTAAACAAGTCACTGAGTGTGTTTATGGAATTGTACAAGATTCTCTAGCTGCACCCTCGTCCCTCGCGGATGCTGGGCTCCCAGTGTCCTTCTCTGGGCCTGTGTCTGAGGCACAGGGTCCTGGATGAGTGGATGGACGGCATAGGCGTTGCAGGCTGGCCACGAGCGGCGCGGGCAGTGTGCCACAAGCCACCAGCTGGGGGCCGTGGCAGGCGGCCCGGTAAGCCTCCGGATTGACTACGCCGGGCTGCGAGCGGCCCCCTGGGCAGGGCTGCTGTGCGCTGCCCCCGACGTCCACGCTGGCTTCCCGCTTCCTGACAGCCGTCCTTCAGGAGCTCCGAGGACCGGACTTCTCCCCGCCCCCTCCCAGGACGGCGCCTTGGCAAGCGGAAGTGTCGCAGATTCCTGGCGTGCCTTGAGCCCCGACAGCGCCCGGAAGGCCAGAGTCCCCAGGAAGCCCCGGCTCCCCCGGAGCGCCGTCTCTGCCATCTTTGCTGGTGCCTGGCACACCTGGGGGCCCTGCAGACCGGGAAGGTGAGGTCAGAGGCCACGAAGCAGCTACCCCTCCTTTCCCTGGCTAGTTTGTGAGCTCTGGAGGAGGCCAGGGCCGCAGGGCGGAGGCAGAGGCAGGGCAGGCGAGGCCCTGGAGGCCACAGAGCAGGCTCGATGGTTTCGAGGGTGCCCTGCTCTCTGGTTTCAGAAGCATTTGGTGGGCAAAGAGTGGATTTGTGTGGGGAAGGGGAAGCAGGCAGCCGGGGTCGGGAGGGAGCTGTGAGGAATGGGGTGGGCTGGGGGTGGGCAGGGGGCGGTCAGCTCCCAAGTGGAAGCCGAGGGCCATTCACTGGCATGGGCCGGCCGCCGCCTACTGGAAGGGCCACAGAGGGGCAGCTAGGACCACCCAGATGGAGGGGACACCTCAGAGGATGTGGGTGTCTGCCTGCCGAGGCCTGGCACCCCAAAAGAGGGGGAGCACAATGTGAACTGACTACTTTTAGGTGTTGGTGCTTAAGCAGCCGCTTCCTGTTCCTGACGGTGCTCAGACCCAGCCCCCTCCCCACACACGCCACCAGCGCCGGCGGCTGCCCACCTTGGAGCCCCTGGTCCCCCGCGGGTCCGTCCTGCCCCGCGCCGGCCGTGCCCTTGTCTCCTCGGTCGCCTCGGCTTCCTGCAGCGAGAGCACAGGGTGGGCAGAGCGGCCGCTGCAGGCCCGCCTCCCTGCGCACGCGCTCGCCGCGCGGCCGGGCCGACCCAGTCCCACAGGGTGAGCCCTGCGCCACCTGCGGCCTGCAGCCGCCTCCCTGACCCCAGCAGACCCCGTGGGTGTGGCTCAGGGCTGGCGGGCGGCTGTGCCTGCGGGGCAGTAAAAATGTCCCCCAGCTGCCTTTTGCCACCTTGGGTCTATGTCTTGGTCTTGCAGGGCTGCGGTCGGAAGGCATTCTTATGCTGGCTTTGGGGTTCTGAGGCTTGCTGACACGTTGGTGTGTGTCAGGGATTGAGGACTATTTGCCTTTGTCAGCCGAGGCTGCAGTTGGCCAGCTGTGTGGGGACGGCCTACCCCGGGGCCTTCCCCTTCCCCCGCTCGCTAGTCGCTGGGATCCGCTGCTGGCTGTGGTGCCCCTGGTGCCCCGGCTAGAGGTCCAGTCAGCCTTCCCAGCAGTGACAGAGGCCTGCGTGGGAGGCCTCATTTCTATTCCAACCATCACCTCTGGCACCTGGTGCCAGCTCTGCTGCTGGAGATGCGGCTCTGTTGGTTTAGGTGTTTGCACTGAGCGTCAGCAGGTTCGGCTCCTGTTATTCATTCCTTGCCCTTTGTGTGTGTTTAGGGGTGGGGGGTGGGGGGAGGGGGAAGCTCCTGGGGTATAAACTCGGGGCATGGGCCTGTCCCTGAGCTCCTTTTTCTTTTCCTGAAGGCTAGCTCTCTACCACTTAAGCCACAGCTCCATTTCTTTGTCCGATGGCTAATTGGAGGTAAGCGTCTCATGGACGTTCCTGTCTGGGCTGCTTTTGACCTCAGCCTCCTGAGGAACTGGCATTACAGGTGTGACCGCCGGCACATGGCTCATCCCTTGTCTTTTTATCACTCCCTCCCCTCCAAATTGCATTTTGGTGGTATTTGGAGGAAAAATCACATCGAAAGATGGCTGTAGTTGGGCCGCTAACTCACAGCTAGCTGTTCAGAAGCCGAGATCTGAGGATTCGGTTCAAACCCTCCTAGGCAGGACTGTTAAAGTCAGAATGCTGCCGTCCTCACAGACCGGTGATGAGGGAACTGTGTGGGGCCAAAGCTCTGAGGCTCAGCCTCGGGAGGCCGCTAGAGGAGGCAGGGCCCGCGGGGGCAGCATGGGGCTGGGCGCCGCGCAGCCCACGCCGGTGTCAGCGTGTCAGCGCGGATGTGCTGATGCCTTTGTGGCTGCTCCCAGCCCCGCCCCTCCCCCCCCAGGGCGCTCAGTGTGGGGGGCAGGGCGGGTTTCCCCAGGACCGAGGTCCCACCTGGGGCCAGCCTCTCACCTCTGGGTCCAGGGTCTCCCAGCTCCCCGGTGGGACCACGATACCCAGGGGGCCCCCGAGCGCCAGGGTGGCCGGTGGAGCCCGGGGGGCCCTGGGGGCCGGGGGGGCCGGCGGGGCCGGGCCGGCCGATGGCGCCGGGTGCTAACGGCTTCCTCAGGTGTGCAGCCAGCTGCGCGATTTGCTCTTTGGGGAAACAGGGAGAGGGCCTTGCTCAGAGGATGACCGTGGTGACTGATGGCGTGGGGGCAGAGGGCAAAGGGCACCCCGTGCCTGGTGCCCTTCCTCCAAGCCCGGGGGCCATGACGGGCTGCCGTGGGAACTGCTGTTCTCAGACACGCCAAGACACGCGGAGCACGGCGCGCATGCCCACCAAGCACGGGCCAGACAGAGGCGCAGGCGCGATGGGCGGGCGTGGGGGGGGGAGGGCAGCACTCACCGCTGATCATGCCTCCGCACAGCTCCCGGACCCGCTGCTCACTGGCCTCCTTGCCCTGCAATCCCCGGGCTGGTCAGCGCGGGGAAGCCGAGCCCAGGACCTCCACCCCCAAGCCGCCGAGTGTTCAGTGCCAGCCCCGCGGGGCATGAGCCACCTACCGGAACGCCGGCTTTCCCGGTGGGGCCGGGGACGCCCTGCAGGCCCTGCAAACCCAGGGGCCCCGGGGGGCCGGGGACTCCCTGCACGCCACCAGTGCCATTGGGTCCTTGAAGGCCTTTGGGGCCCAGCTCCCCCCGAATGCCAGACTGCAGAGAGACAGGAAGGGGGGTCAGGGGGCCTGGCCCAGGGCCAGGGCCACCCCTCGGGGCGCTCTCCGGAGGTCTTGGGTCTGGCAGTGCCCCACAGGCTCGGTTGGAAAGCCCTGGGGTCCTGGACTAGGCAGAGCCTCTGCGGGCACTCACCTCTCCTTTCTGTCCCATGGGGCCACTGGGACCCTGCGGGAGGAAAGGCGCGTTTGTGACTTAGGTCTCCACAAGAGCCGGGGCGGGAGCGGCTCCCGTACGCTAGGTACGCCAGCCACTGGCCACACCCAAACACAGACCCATGCAAGATGACCGACCGGCTGGGCTCCAGTCTCTGGTTCACACCACGAGCCAGCGGCCCGCCTCGAAACTGGACAGGGCAGGAGGCGGGTGCCCAGCTCACCGTGGGCAGCAGGATCGGGCCAGCGCCTCCCACGGCCGCTGCGCCCCTCCCCGTCCCCGTCAAGCCTGCTGAGGAAGTTCACAGGCTCTGAGATTATTCTGGCTAGAGGCACAAGACGTTCACAGGCCAAAAGGTGTGTCGCCAGGATCTCTGGGACCTGCCTGGCTGTGTTTCACAGACACAAAGGGAAGAGCTGGTGATAGAAATAAAATCCAGAAGAGATGATATCACCAAGGTGCTTTGGACTCCTAAACTGACATGTTGAAACCGCCTTGCACAACCCTTTTGTACAAGATAATAAAAAGTAAATAAAAATCTCTGGCCCCTGAAAGCCAGAAAGAGCTTTTCTCTCCTCGAACCTCAGGAGAAACCGCTCCATTTTCACCAGCTCTGGGAAGGTGGGGGTGTGCGCGTCACTCACAGAGCTGGTGTTTTCTTAGCCCTCTGAAGATGCGTCTCCATCAGACCCGCATCACCCCAGGGGACGTCCACTGGCAGGCAGAGTGCTCGCGCTCAGCGGGAGCCGCCCTGGCCCGCACGTGGTTTCTGGCGTGGCGCACTTGCTGGAGGGGACCAGACCCATCCAAAGGGACCTGCTGGTGCTCAGCCACACTCACCAGCTCTCCTTTGTCCCCAGGGAGCCCGTCAGCACCTGCGAAGCCCTGGAAACAACCGGTCAGCATTAACGCGCTGGGGCCTGCCACAAGCTGCCGGCCTCAGCTCAGTGACATTCATGCCTGAGACCCAGGCCGGAGCCCGCTCCCTGCCACGCGGGCCTTCCGTGTGGCTGCATGGGATGGGATGTGGGATTGGATGGGGTGGGAGGGGTGCAGCCCTCCCCCCGACCCTCCCATCTGCTCAGGCCATCCACCCCATTACACAGCACAAACAGGATGGCGGGAGGTTTCCAGCCGCTTCTGTCCCTACTCTGCTCTGCGGCTGGTGTTGAGTGGCGGGGGCAAGAGCTCTGAAAGCAGACCCCCAGCAGATGGCCCAGCAGCCTCGAGAAAGCTGGGCAGGTGGCAGAGACCCAGACACACACGACACCACCCCTGCTGCTGGCCCCTCACCTGGTCTCCTTTAGCACCTGAGGCTCCTCCGGGGCCCTGGCAGAGAAGGCTGGGGGTTAGAGGAATTTCCACGGCTGCCACCTTGTGGTGGAGGCAGGAAGACCACTCGGACCAGACCAGACATGGCACCAAACTGCAGGAGAGGGCCCAGAAGCCAAGCCTACACTCACAGAGGACAGGCCCCCTGCCCCCGCCTGCTCTGCGCCCTGGTCCCGTGTGTCAGTTTTCCCCAAAACAATCCTCAGTCCCTGTGTGCACACCGACGTCCTCACGGAGGTGTGCGTGTGAGCGCCGTGGGTTTCCCTGACACACAGGCCCCGAACGGTTTCACCCAGTGGCTCATCCCATGGGACCCACGTGGGGACCTAGCTGGGAACTGTTAAATCCTAAAAGCCGTCTGTCTGAGGCTGGATGTAGTTGAGTGGCGGAACACTTGCGTAACATGGCCAGGCCCTGGGCTCGATCCCCAGTCCCACAAAGAAAAAGAAGCATGAAAATGTCTACTTTTCAAGTGAGACTTCGCTCAGACCTTAGGGGGAAAAGCCAGGATGTCCCTGGCAGAGGAGCCAGCGCCGCGCTCACCACCTCCTGCCGCCCCTGGGCCTCCGCTGGCGGGAGGCCCGCGGTTATTGGTATGTCCCCCAGTCTGGAATTTCCTGTCTGGAGGCTAATAAAGGGCCCGCTGTCCACTGCGCCCGCCCCCATCTGCAGGAAGCCTGGAGCCTCCCGGGCACGTGGCCTAGGGTCAGACCAGGCCTCCGGCCTCTCCCAGGGACGGCTCCCCGACAGCCACATAACCCCTGGGCCCTGGGCCCCAGGCCCCCAGAAAGCTGACTAGTTTTTCCCTCTGCTGAAGTCAGAGCCTCACACTCTCCCTTAGCTTTTCCACTCAAGGCTGGTGCTCTACCACTTGAACCACACCTCCACGTCCAGCTTTTTGCTGGTTAATTGGGGATGAGTCTCTCACATGTATCTACCACTCTGGCTTTGAGCCTCAGTCCTCAGCTCTCAGCCTCTTGAGTGGCCAGGAGTGGCATTGAGAGTCACCAGCCCCTGGCACAGAGCCGACGTGATTGGTGGTCGTAAGATGGCAGGGAAGAGCGCTGGTTTCCGGCACTGGGTGTCCCCGCTTGCCTTACAGCCATGAGACCCTCTGCCCAATCAAGCCCAGCTCACGCACAGCGGGTCATGCCCTTCCTCCGAACTGGTCAGAGGGCTGGTGTTGGCTCTGGAGGCCCCCGCCAGGGTCTAGAAGCGGAGCCGAGCGGACGCCAGCGCTTCTGGTCCACAGGGATGGCAGGTAGCGTGAGCGAGGGGTGGCGGGGCTGGCAGGAGCGAGCTGGGGTGGGACTGGACGGCCGGGTGGGGAGGGCGGGGTTGGGCACAGAGCAGAGGCCCCTGTGCCATGACGGCCACTTACCCGGTCACCCACATCACCACGGAGGCCCTGGGGGCCAGGAAGGCCGGGATCGCCCACACTGCCCTTGCGGCCCTGTGGACACAGTCCTGGTCAGTGCCCGCAGGAACCCCGCCGGGACCCCTTTCCTCTTGAACCCCCCAGGGGCTCACTGCCCCGGCTGGGCGAGGTGACCACGACCCCAGGCCCAACTTTACCCACCTGGAAGCCGCGGACGCCAGGGGCTCCCGGAGGGCCTTGTGGGCCAAGGACCCCCTGAAAGAAAGGGGTGTGACCGGATGGGCCTGGGCTCGAGGGGGGCCTGGCGCCTTCCGGCGTCTGCAGCCCGGGGAGACCCGTGTTGCTTCCACAGGGGCGTGGGGAGGGTGGTCCTGAGCCCTCTGGCTGAGCTGCTGGGGACCGAGGCCAGGGAGCTCCTGGGCTGTGGGGCCTGGGGGTGGCAGAGAGGCTCTGGGCCCACGCGTGCTCATGCCTCAGTCAGGCCGGCTCGGCACCAGGCCCTGGAGTCGCTGCCCATCCCCTCCCCGGGCATGCTGGCCCGTGGGCCCCGTGGTCTGAGACCCCAAGGGGGCCCAGGCTGCCCCCTGTCCTGGGGGAGGGGTTCAGCCCACTGACGCTCTGACACGCCTCCCAGAGCCCGCCGCCCGCTGGCCATCTACTCACCGCGGAGCCCCTGTGGCCAGCCTCGCCTCGCTGCCCGGGCACGCCCATGTCCCCCTGTGGGGAGGGAAAGGGCATTGGGCAGGGTTCTCGCGCAGACAGGGGTGGGGTGGGGGGCTGTGGGCACTCACGGGGATGCCTGGCTCTCCGGAAGGGCCAGCTTCACCCAGCTCTCCGGCTCTGCCCTGCGGAAATGGGGAGAGCCCTGAGCGCGGGGTCCCCGCTGTGGAGGACCGGGCTGGGGAGAAAGCCACCACTCACCAGCTCGCCCTTCTCCCCTTTGGAGCCTGCTCGTCCAGGAAGGCCCTGTGGGGAGGCAGAGTCGGGGCCACCGCTGCCAAATCTGCACAGCACGCCACAGGGTGTGCGCCCGGCGGTGGGCCTGGCCGGCGCCCCCCATGGAGCGGGCTTCCCCCGGGAGAGCGCCCCAGCTTCCTTGCCTGAGAGGCAGCGCAGCTGGGAAAGCCCCGGGCAGCCCCGCGAGAGACCACGCTGCGCACCCACAATGGACCCGAGCGCACAGGCGTGAGCACCAGAGGCCCGCCCACAGGCACCCGCTGGGCATCCGGGCAGCGCCGGGCGGGGCCCGGGGGCACCGTTCCCAGGACCAGCTGGTCCTGAAGCGGCCAGCCCCTGCCCTGCGCACTGCCCCGCTTGTCTGGGCACTCACCGGCAACCCGTTGGGACCCTTCTCTCCCGGGGCACCGTTGCGCCCGGCCTCTCCCTGAGGACAGTGAGAGAGAACACGCGGGCTGAGCCCGTGGAGGCTGAGCGGCCTCGCCCCATGCTGAGCCCGCGGAGGCTGGGCGCAGCCTCGCCCCATGCTGAGCCCGCGGAGGCTGGGCGGCTCGCCCCATGCTGAGCCCGCGGAGGCTGGGCGCAGCCTCGCCCCATGCTGAGCCCACGGAGGCTGAGCGGCCTCGCCCCATGCTGAGCCCGCGGAGGCTGGGCGCAGCCTCGCCCCATGCTGAGCCCGCGGAGGCTGAGCGGCCTCGCCCCATGCTGAGCCCGCGGAGGCTGAGCGGCCTCGCCCCATGCTGAGCCCACGGAGGCTGAGCGGCCTCGCCCCATGCTGAGCCCAAGGAGGCTGGGCGCAGCCTCGCCCCATGCTGAGCCCGCGGAGGCTGGGCGCAGCCTCGCCCCATGCTGAGCCCGCGGAGGCTGGGCGCAGCCTCGCCCCATGCTGAGCCCGCGGAGGCTGGGCGCAGCCTCGCCCCATGCTGAGCCCGCGGAGGCTGAGCGGCCTCGCCCCATGCTGAGCCCGCGGAGGCTGGGCGCAGCCTCGCCCCATGCTGAGCCCGCGGAGGCTGGGCAGCTCACCCCGCCCCAGGCCCGCCGGGCACCAACCTTCCCGCCGTCCAGTCCTGGCACGCCGTCCCGGCCATCCTTGCCTGGCATGCCCTGGGGACAAGGGACAGCACTGGACCTTTAGCCTTTGCCTCACAACCCAAGCCGGGCTTCTCCCCCGCTCAAGGTTGGCATAGACCACACGGGGAAGGGGAGCAGGCACCGCGGGCTGGTGAGGATACCCACGGTGCCCCTCGCCCCCTCCATTCTCAGGTACGCACAGTGTGTAGAAGTCTAACCCCAGGCTGCCTCGTCTGCGGCTGCTGCACCACAAGCCGCTTGAGGGAGCCGCTCTACAGCGGATGTATCAAAAAGCAACCCACTCGGTGCGGACGACCCGTGTGAGGGCCTCCGTCCAGCTGTGGCCACACGCCCGTGGCCGTGGTGGGGGAAGCATTCTATGGCGGGTGGCTGCGGACGGGGGCGGGGGCACCCAGATGGTGCCCAAGTACTCACCGGCTCTCCGCCCGGCCCGGCCACGCCGGGAAGTCCTTTGGGACCAGGTCTGCCCTAAGGGACACACGAGCGAAGCAGCAGCTGGGACCTTGCGTCTGCCTTGCTCTCCAACCTGCCCAGCCGCGGCCTGAGCCCTGACCCGGCCTCTGCGGCCACGCTGCAGGAGCTGAGGGCCCCCACGTGGCTATGTGAAGAAGGCGGGGGGAGGAGGGGACTGGGGGCCTCTCCAGGCCTTCATGCATCTGACAGCTCACCCCCGTGCACCCCAAGGACAGTATCTCCCATCAGCAGCCCCAAAGTTCCTTGGCAGCCCCCTCATGTTCCCCACTCCCTACCCCAGAGGGACCCCACAAGATGACTTCTCACTTACAAGGTCACCCTTGGGGCCACGGAAACCTTCTGGGCCTCGCTCACCTCTGTCACCCTGTGATTACAAGGGGGAGAGAGCCACAGTGTTGACACAGAGGATGTCAGACAAACAGAGCAGAGGCCCGAAGCAGCCTCTAACAGACAGAGTAGAGGCCTGACACAGCCTCTAATAGACAGAGTAGAGGCCTGACACAGCCTCTAACAGGGGGGCAGAGGCCCGATGCAGCCTCTAATAGAGTAGAGGCCGGACACAGCCTCTAACAGACAGAGTAGAGGCCCGACACAGCCTCTAACAGACAGAGTAGAGGCCCGACACAGCCTCTAACAGACAGAGTAGAGGCCTGATGCAGCCTCTAATAGACAGAGTAGAGTCCTGACACAGCCTCTAACAGGGGGGCAGAGGCCCGATGCAGCCTCTAATAGACAGAGTCGAGGCCGGACACAGCCTCTAACAGACAGAGTAGAGGCCTGATGCAGCCTCTAATAGACAGAGTAGAGGCCGGACACAGCCTCTAACAGACGGGCAGAGGCCCGACGCAGTCTCTAACAGACGGGCAGAGGTCCGACACAGCCTCTAACAGGGGGGCAGAGGCCCGATGCAGCCTCTAATAGACAGAGTAGAGGCCCGACGCAGCCTCTAACAGACAGAGTAAAGGCCCGACACAGCCTCTAACAGGGGGGCAGAGGCCTGAAGCAGCCTCTAACAGACGGGGCAGAGCCCCACGCAGCCTCCGGTGGTCAGCCACGCTGCTGCAGTGGTGCTCACCCAGGCCCAAGGGGCAGGCACTGCTGCTCCCGTCCAGCGGGCTGGGAGGCGGCTCTCCTGTGACCACCGCACGCCCCCCCAGCATGCCACGGGAGCCCGGGCCACCCCACGTCCCACAGGCCCCCCCCCCCGTGCCCTGAGCCCTGTGCTGGGCAGCCCGCTCGCGGCAGGCAGCTGCCATCTCATGAGGCTGGGCAGTCATCACTGTGACGCCGTGCGGGATGGGGCGAGGGCTGCCCCGGCCCACCCTCCGCACTGCACACACACGTACCACTTTCCCAGGTGCTCCTGGGACCCCGGGGGGCCCTCGGAAACCAATGGGACCCTGCAAAGGAGAGAAGGCATTTGAGGCCCTTCTCAGAGAGAGAGAGCGAGGGAAGCTATGGGAAGAGTCCGGAGGAGGCAGCCCGTTGCTGAGCCCATGTGAAGCCTGGGGTGGAAATGAGCCCGTGCCCTACTGCCTGGGCCCATCTCACCCGGCCACACCGCCCAGGGGCTGCAGGACTCACCCGGTCACCAGGGGGTCCGAGGGGCCCGGGCAGTCCTCGCGATCCTCGGGGTCCCTGTGGGGAGAAGCGGGAGATGCAGGAGAGGGTCTGCCTGTCCCAACGCCCCGCGGAGCCTGCCTCCGGGCTCCCTGCACCCAGGTGTCTTTCCAGGGGAGCCGGCGCTCAGCCGCGGCCCTGGGGCAGCATGCCTGCCTTGGGATCCACCCAGGGCGACTCCATCCCAAGTCCTGGCTGCTGGCCAGGAGCGAGCGCCAGCCCGCCCGGGCAGCTGCCCGAGGAGCCCCATCCTGCGGGCTGCACGCCCCACGCCTCACCTGTAGCCCCACAGTGCCTGGGATGCCAGCAGGTCCGGGGGGCCCTGGGTCACCCTGAAACAGAAGTGTTCAGCAGGTCCACATGTGCTTCCAGCACCTTCTGCTGTCCCGGTCCCTCCCGCTACAGCCCGCCCCCTGCGGCAGCTGCGCTCCTCCAGGCTAAGGAGCGCGCCGCCCACAGCTCCAAAGAGGCCGTGCGGATGCGCTCACGGCCCGAACTCTAGCCGCTCAGGACCCGAGATATGGAGACCATTTTGAAGCCTGGGAAGATAAACATGAGAGACTCTTTTTTTTTTTTGTCCAGTTGTGGGCCTGAACTCTGGGCCTGGGCGCTGTCCCTCAGCTCTTCAGCTCAAGGCTAGCACTCTACCACTTGAGCCACAGCACCACTTCTGGCTTTTTTCTTTTTGCTTATGTGATGCTGAGGAATCGAACCCAGGGCCTAATGCATTGCAAGGCAAGCGCTCTGCCGCTGAGCCACCTTCCCAGCCCAAACATGAGAGACTCTTAACCAGCCGAAAGCTGGACGTGGAAGCATGGCTCAAGCAGTAGAGTGCCTGTCTTATCTGAAAGCTGAACGGAAGTATGAGGCCCCAAGTTCAAGCCCCAGAACCAGGAAAATTTTAAAAAGCAAACACAAAACTTAAAGGCAACATAGACCTCAGCGGCCTCACTCCTGCCTGCACCGCCAAATGCCCCCAGCCCTCCCCCCCTCCCCGCGCCGCCCCACCACTGGGAGCCCAGGCTGCATGTGCAACCTGCTCACTCCTACCATGCAAGGACAGCCCAGATGCACACAGCCCTCCCCCCCATGCTACCGGGGGAGGGGAGGGGACTTGTGTCCCACAGTTCCCCACCCCCAACCCCAGGAGAGGGTCTGTTGGGGTGGCCAGGCTCCCCGGGGGCAGTTTGTGTGTGAGGGGCGGAGGGCGTCCGGCGGCCTGCCCAGAGCAGC